AGTATTCCGAAGCGTTCAAAAAAATATCCTGGTTGTTCATTCTCATGGTGCATCTGAGAGAATCTCTTTAAAAGAATCCAAGGAATTGTCCATTTGTCATTTTCACTTTGATATACAGGTACCTTTTGTTTGGTTGGGTCTCATCCAGGAATTCAACATACATTTCTCTCCTTCAGCCCAGCATGACGAATAAAAGCAGGGGTGAGGAGGGAGAGCCGAGCGTAGAAAGCAAAGTAAAGCTTTTCGAGGACACACACACACACACACACACACACACACACACACACACACAGTACAGAACAAAAGTCCAGTCCGATCGTGCAAAACTCGCATCTCCAGATAAAGCACTTCCGACAGTATCACAATGCCCCTTCCCCTCCCCAGTCCTCCCATTCTCCCAGGGAAACACACAGAATGAAAGCCAAGCCATCCTTTTTCTTAAGGCTGAACAGACACACAGAGAACACATTTCACGGACTGGCCAGTGGGCGGTGACCTGCAGGGCTCTTGCTTTGAGTGCAGCCAGCCCCCTGCAATCCATCCTGAGGTCTGGGCGCTCCTCACTCTGGACAACAATACAGCGTCCATACAAAAGAAGAAATCGCAGTGGCCCCAACAATAAAATCCCAGATCGACGTTACAATCACAGGTACAAATTGCTCAGGTCCATAGTGTCATTTCTCCTGAAGACCTTATCGTCTAAAACTAATTAGAGGCCAGGTTCCCGAGGAATGGTCAATAGTCAAAGAAAACACTGGAGACTTGGAAGGAAATCATTCTTCTATCTCGACAGTCAGACGGAGCTTGGAAACAAGTTGTCCCGTTCTGCCAAGTTCAGGGGGTTAGGGAGGGCGGATTCCTGGGTCCAGATTACAACTTCCCCGTCACCCCAGGCTCGGCGTTTATAGGGGAAACACCAAGAAGCCAGAGAAGGTGGAGTACTTCCAGCCTCCCATGAGGTTGCCCCGCTCCAGTTTGAGGTGCACCTTGTCCTCCCTCTCCATCAGCAGCAGGACCCCATTGCTGGCTGCTTCTCTGGTCACGTCCTGGTCTCCTGCGAATGCTGAGATCACTGGATAGCCGTTCTGCATTAAACTGACCTATAATGCAGAGGGTAGAGCTCAGCAGGCCATGCAGGGTCCACTGTTCTCACACACCTGTCCTCTCCTTCCCCCAGCCCTTCCCCCACCCTTTCCATGGAGCCCTACTTCCCCAGGGACCTGACCCAGAGGACTCAGCTGGCTCCCAGCCCCTCCCCCTGCCTCACAGAAGGGCTGATAGGGTCTGCAGTAATGGGGAATGGTAACCCAAAGTTCAAAGGGTCCCGTTTCCAAAGCTACCCACCTGGATGGTCTGTCTGTTGTACACTTTGACCACGTGGAAGCTGAAGCTATAAATCCCTTTTCTCGGAGCTACAAATATACTGGAGGCAAGATCGAAATGGTTGCCAATATTTACTAACACCTGAAAAAGAAGAGGAGCACACAGAGACTTAGCAAGCCCCTCCTTGGCACACAGGGTGAGCAGGCTGGCACAGCAGTGACCCAGGTCCACTATGGGCTGCTCAGGCTGCCCACCCATGGAGGAGGCACTGCTGGAGTTAAAACTTCCCACAGTGGGAAGTGATTTCAAAGGTATTTCAAGGGATAGCGATTCATAAAGATGTTTTAATTTATATTCATTTATGAGTTGAAAAAGTGGGTGCTAATTTTGTGCATTGGGGGCAGAACAGAGAGAAAGGAAGGAAGGCAATGAGGTCAGTAAACACCCGGATGTTAAGTCTGTTCCGAGGCTTGTGGAATGATGGAACTTCAGCATGGAGCTTTGACAAAAATTACTGGACCACACTGAGTGGGTAGAGAACGGGCTATGGGGCAAGAAGCCAATTAAGTGAGATCAGTTCCCTCAGATGAAGCTTCCCACCTAACTTCCTGTATGTGCTCCAGGGCAGAACAAGACTGTGTCAGGTCCTGATCTCTGTGTTCCTGCAGCCCCGGCACATGCCCTGGCAGCACACAGTAGGTGCTCAATAATGGCTGCTGAGTGCAAGATCTCAGTCCATAAACACCTGTGGTGCCTGCTTCCCTCATTTTCCTCTGAGAGATGTTTGCTTCCTTGGATGAGCTATGATATCATGCAATGTGCTTGAGTAATTAGCTGGAGAGTCCACACAGCAGCTTGGACACCCTTGGCTCAATCCCGGGAATTCCATCAGGTGCAAGAATAATGACTAATCCAGCCATGGGATACGAGCTCACTTGGCCCTGCAAGTGGGTTTCCTCAGATCAGAGGGGGTGGGAGCATGACATCATAAGTAGAACCTGAAGACAAGAGGGCCCCCCATCACAACCCAAATCTATTTTAGAAGCTGAAGACATTATTTGGCCACTCTGCCTGGATCCCGTCCCCACTCCTACTCACACACAAATGCACAACTCGATTAAGATACTAGAATGGCTTGCCTGGTGTTCTCAGCTTCTAAGACAAACATCCAGCAACAACAACACAGGCCTGGATGAAAGAACCTGTCATCTGTTCAGAAAATAAATGTCAACTGCATACGTTTTGCGGTGATTTCTTAGGCACTCATTATAGATGAATAACAAGCAATTCCCAGAGCCATGTCAACTGCTGCTCAACCACAGCTGCAGGATGGTCGGAAGGCAACCCGCGCCGGAGCTGGGGGCACCACCTCCGCCCCCCTAGTCTGTGGGGTTCATATAGACATGAGGGCTCTATGCTTAGGGGTGGTGTGCCCTACTGTTCTGTGCCTCCCCAGGGCTATGCTCTCAGTGGGTAGAATGATGTTTTCATGAAGAATAAAGCATTCTCCACTCGAGCTCTTGGAGCTGCTTCTTCCAACTCTCTACCTCAACTCTTTCACCTCAATTTTAAATTCAGGAGCCTGGCAGATTCAGGGCCCTGCTGTAGAGGAAAGATCTCCCAACCAGCTCAGAAAAGCAGGCTGTTTCTCCCTAACCAGGAACCAGTGGCGCACCATCCAACCTGCCCTGCCACAGGTGCCTCATCCATAAAATGGCAACCCTGCTGCCCCTTACCCTGCCCCACATCACCGTTTTCTTGACCCAAATGAACGATGGACGTAAAAAGGTGGTGAAACTATTTGTAGGACATGGGAAGGTAAATTATAGTAACTCATAACGGAGGACTTATTAAGCCAGTAAATAGTTACCTATTTCTTATCGTCTCCTTTCTTTGAACATAAGGTAAATATTGTGATGTCTTATAAATAAAAACAGATTAAAGGCAGACTCCCTCCCATCACCACCCCCAAATCCCACAAAACTTCATGAATGTACAGACTTCCTAACAACAAGGAAAACAAATGAACACACTGGCTTAAAATGAGTCAAGGGTGTGTGTGCAGGTTTATCGATACTCGGGAGTGAGAGTGGGCTTATGCAGAGGGGAGATCTCAGTGTGGACAGCTGAAGAGGGTTCCATTTGTGGAAGGCTTAGGTTCCTAAGGAATGGACTAATGCGTTCAAGTTTGGAAAGCGCTATTATGTTTCAGTTTGTTTCTGAAAAACAACAGAACTAAGCGGGGAGGGATCCAAGAGGAAGGTCATGACCTCTAATCCTGAGCAGCCACACCAGAGAGGGGGGTGCCAAGGTAGGATCCTATTCACAACCCTTTGGCTTTGGCCCCAGTGGGAAAAGTTAAGCGGATTAGGGCAACAGAAGTCATCGATCCTTTTATTATTATTATTATTATTCCCATAACCACACTGCATATTGATATCATGATATGTTGTATTTGTAGATTGTATTATGTATTGTTTTCACTACACATTGCAATTATATAAGAAGCTATTTCGTTTTGTATTTTTAAAACCATCCTGCTATTTCCCTCACACACTTGCTCACTTATTTTTCTTGAAAATAAATATCCTCTTCCCAGTCCTTTCCAAAATAAGCAATAGGCACCTCTTTTCTGAGCGTCTGGGCCTCCGGAGGACCCTCCTTGAGCGTGGAGAGTTTAAAATGCTCAGTCTCTGTGTTGGCCACATGGGTGAGGAAGGCCCATTTACCACAAATGACAGCCCCACCCCACCCCCCACCCGGGCAAAGAGTAAACCATGCAGTTCCCTTTTGGGAAATAGCTTTCTGATCTCTTAGCTTGATGGGCTTCTCAGTCACCAAAGTGCACCTGAGCGGACAGGTACAAGGAAGCTAAAACGCGATAAGGAGGGAATGGCACACTAGAAACAGGAGAGAGAAGGGAGAGGCGCAGGGCAGGACAGGGCAGAGGAGGGCAGAACCTGGAACTGCAGGTCCCGGACGCGGGAAGCCCCAGCCCCAGCGCCCAGGCTCCCGCCCTGTTCTCCCGGGCAAGAGGCACCGTGCGCACACCGGCCAGCTGACCTGGTCGAAGTAGATGGTCATGGTGCGGTTGCTCATCTCCGACGGCTCGTGGTTGGTGCTCCGGGTGGCGGAGAAGGCCACTTTGGCGCTGCCAGAGCGCACGGAGATGCCAAGGGAGGAGGTGACAGCACCGTCCGCCGATGGGCTGGAGTCGCACACCACCAGGCACTTGCCCTCCAGCACGATGGGCTCCGTGATCGCCTCCTCTGGCCTGGGTCCCCCGCTCTGATGGTTAAGGCCAGGATCGTCCTCACAAGAAAAGCGCCAGCGGACCTGTCAGGGCAAAGAACCCACACCCTTAGCCTGGGAGGTGAAGCAGTTCCGGAGGGGGCACGGGGAGCAGGTGGCTGAGGCGCTTGGGGCCCTCACTGGAGGCCGCCCTCTTGCTCCCGCGCACAGCCACCCGCCTCCCGCACAACAGGTCCCGGGCATCCCTGAGGGCTCCGGGGTGGCGCGCGCCGAAGGTGCAGTCAGGGCAGAGGCCCGCGATTCTGCACGGCCCCGGCACTAAGACAGGATCGGCACCTCTTGGGGACTCCGGCAGCGCCACCCCACACCCCGTCCTAGCCTAAGGCGGAGGGGAGCTCAGGACGCGGCAAAGGAAACCCCACTCACGCCGTATCGCCTTCATTTCAGCGGCATTCTCCTCAACACACTACGAACCCTTTCCCCTTTCGCTGCTTTCCCTTTCATCCTGTCTTTTCCCATCCTGGACATTTTTTTTAAAGCCGTCCATCCAAAGACCAAACCTCCAGGAATCCTTGGGATGAATTAGAGAAAAAGAAAAAAGAGACTCTAAAAGCAGACACCCACTTCACCGCGTCCCCTCAGCCAGCAGCGAGCGCCTTTGGAGAGTCCCTGGGATCCCTCTGGCACAGGCGGGGACGCGGCGCCCTGCGCCCTGCGCCCTGAGCTGGCCTGATGGTGCAGCTTTTGTTTCTAGACTCCGGGCTCCCGTTTGCCGAGCTGGGAGGCGGCCCTGAGACTCTCTGCTAACTTAACCCCTTTCTCCGGCCCTCTCTGCTCCCCCTAAACCAGGCAGGTCATTTCCACACCCAGCCCAGAAACAAAAACGCCGGAAGCCTCTCCCCGCGCCGCCCACGGCCTCTGAACAACTCCTCCAATAGTCTAAGAAGAGAGAAGTTGTTTCTCCGTGAGTAGCCTCTGTCCTCGGCCCCAGACAAAATCATGTCCTTCTCGGTCGCTTCTCCCGACGCCCGGACGCAGACTCGCGACGGTCCCCGTTGAAATACACGCATGGATGCAGTGAACGCGCGGACCGCGGAGCGCAGGGCTGGCTTGGTTACCTGGAACAGCCATGACGAGCGAGCACCGCCGTCAGCCAAGTTCTGCTGAAAGAG